TTATTAGCATAAAATAAACATCAAAGTCACAACACCATTATTTTGTACCCTTTTTCCTTGCAATGGATGAGGATTTTCCACTGTTGGTCACACGATTATTTAATCATTTCCATATTTGGTCACTGTCTATTAACTTTTTTATAGAGAAATTTTCAATTTTGATCACATGACAATATGAGCTTTGTTAATTTCAGCACATAACTTTTAAAAGTGTCAATTTAGTACCTTGAGTATGTAATTTTTGTCAATTTTGATCACTCCGGCCAAATTGCCGACCAAATTTGGCTGGAAAAATTCAATCCAACATTTAGTCTAAAATTTGAGGGGCAAAATGGTCTTTTTTTTATCCTTTCTCCTAATTGGTGTTGACCAAACCTTTCGAGGAAGATGATGACGACGGCGACGACTTTGAGCCGTCGCCAGCATAATTGCTACGCTTATGAAACATTCATTCACCTGTTTCTGTCAATCCTCCATTACAGAGACAGCTTCAAGAAATGGAGGTGATGGTGCCTGTTCACCGCCTCGACATGGATTTCGACTTCAACAGCGCAAGAGCTTCGTCGTGCGTATCGGCGCCTTCCACGCTGAGAGGGTTCGGGGATTACTATCTCAGCACTCCGCCCAGCCCCTCTCATCTCTCGCAACTCTACCACAATTTTGATGATTTCTTGATTGATGATGATGGTGATCGTGAGGGGAAATTCGCCGCCGCCTACGGTGTTTCGTTCTCCTGGGAGGGAAAGCCCGAAAAACCTAAGAAGGGGGAGGATGTTTTTGATTTCGCGTTTGATGTCGAGGAAGAGTGTGAAATGGCTTCTCTGGTGGAGGAGCTTTTTTACGGTGGGATGATTAACCCCATTGAACCTCCTCCTCCTTCTGGCTATAGCGGATGGAGGAAGATGAACAAGGTTTGGTGAACACCAATTAAGAGAAAGGATAAAAAAGATCATTTTGCCCCTCAGATTTTAGACTAAATGTTGGATTAAATATTTTCGGTCAAATTTGGCCGGTAATTTGGCCGAAGTGACCAAAATTGACAAAAATTACATACTCAATGTACTAAATTGACACTTTTGAAAGTTAGGTGCTGAAATTAACAAAGACTCTATAGTCGTGTGACCAAAATTGAAATTTTCTCATTTTTTATATTTAGTTTGAAACTTTGTCACGTTTAGTCCGTCCAACTTAATTTTCAGCGGCCATCAACGATCAAATTAAATTATATTTTATGTAAGTTATCATTTTTCATGTTTTTCAAGATAAGTAACTTGTATGCTCTTGATAGAAACTAGAGGTTTAGAAGATGGAAGATGAGGAGGCGATCTAGAAGGAATGCCTTTAAAAATATATAGGAAATGAACTTATAATTGCTCAATTTCGTGTTGGGTTGGTATGGATGTAACAAAATTGGTTTGGATCTATAATATGACTTGATGGAGTTACTAGTTTAATGATGAAACAATGGGCTCAATTTCATAAGCCCAAAATTAGTTTTTTTTTTTTTTTTTTTTTTTGAAGATTAATATGAACCTTTCAAGTTGGAAAAATTTAGAGCTAGCTTATTCAAGTCTACAAACAATTAATTAACTAGCTAACCTAACCCTACTATTACAAGACTTCCTTCATAGGACGTCGCAGTTGTCTAATTGACCGATACACTGTCTAACTGACCACGATAGTCAATTAAGGAGCACTATGTTAGCTCACTTGCAAAGTATCGTCATGAAATATGCAAACAAATATTTTTATATCTCCTTCTTTGGGATCCATCCCATGCCATATTTTACTTTAGCATTTGTTCTAGTGTATATTACTATATATACCCATCTTATCAAAGCAGTCATCTAATCTCTCGATCACACTTGTACTCAATTCTCGCTGTGCCTGTTACACTATCAACGACTTTAAATCAACATCAATTGAGCAAACTATAGCATTAAGAATTTGTCAAACAATTAATGTATGTGATAAACTGGGGATCGGAAATGATATGATTACAAATTCTTAATCTCCAAGTAAAGCCTCCACCAAATAAACTGCACAAAAGTACACTCTTATGTCACACCCACATTAATCTACTGAAGCTGATGCTGATAACGGGATATATGCCATAATTTATCTAATCAGGATTAGGTCTGCTTAATTGTTTATGTCTATATAATCAAACCAAACTATACTATTTTAGATAAGACATATGCATCTATCATGCCATATATAATAATTCTATAATATCATTTCTGGACTCTTCATCCTGCACTATATTTAATTTAGCACCATTTGATGATCCATAAACTACCTAAATTAGAATAGTGTAGAACTGAAACTTTTTTTTTTTTTATTAAACCTAATCTGGAATCATTCCATATATAAAAACTATAAACCCACATTTTATTCTTATTAATTCCAATATATAAATTATCATTGATTTACTATACTGGAAAACATGTAGCAACTATATGAAGGGATGCTTTGAGTGAAGTCTGGTAACTTTAGTCTGTAAAGGACCACAAGGAGATAAATACCACTGGAGACCCCGGAAGCCATAGAAGCTAAAGCCATTGTCTTGGGAATGCAGTGGCTTTGGGAGAGAGGAGTTCGCGAAGTTGAGATCCAGAGCGATGCTAGAAAGGTGGTGGAATGGATTCAGGCCAGTGATAACCTTAGGGGTCTTATTCAAGGCATTATTGAGGAAGCTAGATTATGGCTAACGAAGGATTGGAAAATCTCCATTCGCGCTGTCTATAGAGAGCAAAACAGGGTTGCAGATGCCTTAGCCGGTTACGGCGCCTTCCAAAGTGATGCTTGGACAACTTTCAGCTCGTGCCCCATCATTAGCAAAGAGGCTTACCTCCAAGATATAGCCCGTGTTACAAGTGCTCGCAGAGTTAGAGAGACTCAACCAGTAGCTTGAGTCGCCCCCGGGTCTACCCCGTCCTTTCGATCAAAAAAAAAAAAATTAATTGATTCAAATAAAAAATACTAATAAGCAGCTCTTATAATTCACTCGCTCAAAAAAAAAAAACAAAAACAAAAACAACAAAAATTATCTATTTCAAGATTTAGGTGTCTTTTTGGCCACCAAAAGTGTAAGCTAAGGGTTTTTGCCCTTTGGCCATGACGACCAACCATCTCAAATTCATAACTATCGTTTAAACCTACCCACTAAATAAAACATTAAGGACATATTAAAACTATTAGTAGGTTAAAGGTTTGGTTTAAAATTTAAGATAACCCGTTTTAATTACATGATGACTAAATGTCTTTATATTACGAGAGTACAAGAACAATTTTTTATTTTATTTTTTTTTATTTTTTTTTTTTGAGACGGAGGCCTAAGGCCCTTAAACTTTATACGAAAAAATCATTAGGCATCTTGAACTTTAAAATTTACAAGTTAACACATTAATTTATTATTTTGGTGCATCCGCAACCAATTACCAATTATCCATGGATAATATCCGATAATTAAGTTTTCAGTTAGGATCCTGGCGATTGTTGAGCGGTCGCTAATTGCCGATTTAGTTGTCAAAATCCTAATTACCAGGTATTACCTGTAGATAACAAGTTATTGGACTTTGATGTACCAAAATAATAAGTTATGTGTTTAATTGTAAACTTTTAATGTTCAAGTGTCTAATTATTTTTTGTATAAAATTAAATGGCTTATTTAACCATTTTTCCTTTAAAAAACATACTTTACATAAGTAAAGACTAAGGAATATGATATAATGGACAACTTCAGTCGAGTTAGTCAATCAATTGAGTTGGTAACCATAAAGTTTCAAATTTAACTTATTATGAAAGTTATTTATTGACATTCTTTCTCGAATAATAGTTCCAGATTTTTCCGTAAAGCAAAGCAATATAAAATAGAATATGGTGACTTTATGTTACATCATTATCATTTTAAGTCAAGGTGATTCTCTGCATTTTCGATCAAGTCAGTTGTTGTTTTTCTCAGTTTACTGTGTTGATGTTGTCATGTGTTTGGCTGTTCCAAAGAGAGGAAATATATATAAAATCTATCTTAGATAGGCACCGAAAGGCAAAAGCTGAGGATGAGCTTTGTGATGAGACCTTCTCCCACCCTTCTTTCTTTCACCCTTTTGGCACTCTACATAAAACTTTCAAAGGGAAATTATTTTCTTCTTCTTTTCCCTATTTTAAAATGCGTGGTTTCTGTTCTTAAAATGCTTTGTTATGTGCTTAAGGTACATGGTTTATGTATTTAAGGTGCGCCATTTTAATGCTTAAGATGTGTCAATCGCACGAGAATACCCACACCTGAACCCTTCCCAATATATATATATATATATATATATATATATATATATATATATATATATATATATATATATATTATCATACTTAGTCATAAACTCACATGCAGATGAGGAACAAAAATGAAGAAGAAGCTTTAACATCATGATTGTCTCTTAGAAAACAAGATTTCATTATTCCTAAGCCATCAAAAGAATCCCACCCTTAGTTACCATATCTAATCTCAATGAGATTGGAATCCAAATGCCAAATGTCATTTTCTCCATTTCTTCCCATCATTCACAAACCACAAATCCAACTTTTGAGATTTGGAATTCCACTACTACAATTTAGGTTTTCACACTTTCTTGATAACTCCCACTTTCACACTAAATGTTGCCAAGAAAATATTCTAATAATATGGTTTTTAACATTACCCTAAGAAATATTAGTAAATATTTTTTTGCTGAATGATAAAGTAAACCCTATGCAACGAGTTCGACTGAGAAAGTGTCGATAAAAATCAATCCCGTGACTTTAAAGTACGATAATCATGCTCTACATACCTACTCAAGCACCCCTTTTATCAGGCTGATAAATCTTTTTATTATCATTATTAAGGTGATTGATATTGGTGACATATAATAATAATACCATTTAAACTCACATTTAATACTTAACTTTCAAAATGTATTCATTAAGAAGTTAATTTTTTACATAAATTGAATGATAATTCACCATGATCAGTTGATCATGGTAATACATCTTCTCCAAATATAGGAAATTCAAATAGTGAAAAGAAAAAAAAGAATTTCTTCCAGAATTCTGAACCTCATTTCTTGACTGGCTTCTTAATCCAGCTTGAAGAAAACATGCACTATTTACCAACAGAGACATTGTCCCAAAAATGGTTTCGCCCTAGTCTTATATACTAGTCCAAATTCTCATCAGTAGCCGATGTGGGATGCATTGCCAAGGCTCTGTCAAATGGAAGTGTGAGTTTACTGAGCCAATAGCTGACCAAGCTGCACTTGCTCCAGCCATGCACTCAGTTCAGATTGATCAATGTGTTCTATCGGGGAATTTGAAGGCGAGCCCTCGACAGAAGCGCCTGCAATGGCGATGGCATTTGCAGATTTATCCTTCGTCGTCTCTCGGGGAGATTCCTTGACGAGGCGCTGAACCCACGACAAATCAGGCTCCTCCCCATTGTTAGCCTGCTCAAATGATGATGATGACCTTCTGAGCTTACCAAATGGCTCAGAATCGACAACACGGGTTGGTTTGCTGCCAGAAAAATCCCATTTTGGCCAAGAATCTACAGCAGCAGAAGAGTTGAAGCTAAGACTCCTAAACTGCTGCTGCTTTTCATGGTGAGAAAGTAGTGACACGTGGGAAGGCAGTGGCGAGACGGGGTCCATAACCCGAGGCGACATCGTCCTCCCTGGCGATGAAACTCCAAACGAGGTTTGGAGCAATGGGTTGTCTGCACTTTTCGGGGGAGAGTTTGTGTTATTGTTGATTGGAGATAACAGCTGAAACTGGTGGAGAACTGCTGATTTATGGGTTGGGGAAAAGCAAGATTTTGGCAAAGCTTGATCAGAATATCCAGGAGACGAACTCTCTGATCGATTAAACGAACTAGTACTAATACTTGATCTCGATATCTGCTGGCGTTGAACATCAAAATCTGGCAACATGTTCAGCTCTTCAAGAGGGATGTCTCTTACATGAAAGGAAGAGCGAAGGCGACTACCTCCCGGGAGATGTAAAGCCGGGACATTTTGTTGGGGCCAACCCATATTCGGAATGCCATTCTTGGATGGAGATATGGGCGGAGTGAATGGCGATGGGGAACCCGGGATGAGTCCCATGGCTGCAGCAAACTCGATAGCATTTGAGGTAGGCGATGGAACATACAAGGGTCTTAGCTCGTCTTGTGTGTGAGCAAAGAAGCAAACTCTTCTATTGCATTTCGTCCCGTCTTTACAAAGCCGAGTCCTATACTGTGCAGGGTGGAGCCAGGACTCGAAAACCCCATGAGCGTATTCACACATGTCGCCTCTTCTGCAAGCCCCCTTATTGCGAAACTCGGGGCAAGGCACACAGCTATAATGGTACTTTCTTGGATCCCTTCTTCTGGCGTTTTCCCCGGGATGGAGAAACGGGCATTCTGTCCAATCGTGCGAGTAGGCACGAGAGCAAGGCCGGATCTTAAACGAGAACATCCTGAACTCGTCTGATGAATAGATGCTATTCTTGATGTCAGGCAAAGAAGGGTCAACTGGATATTCTTTCCTCTCTGGCATAGAGAAACCAGGGGGATCATTGAATTTCTCCTCGCTCTTTGGGGATGAAACTGAGCCTGAAGAACACGAAGCAGATTGATTCCCAGGTGAAGGTGATAACGGTGGAGAATTCGAACCAGAACCAGAACGAGCTGTTAACACCTCTCCAACAGCATCAATTCTGAGCAAATTCTCGAGGCTCAATCTCATATCCTGCAGATTTTGAGAAACAATAACATCAATCGGACGATTCCCATTAGCATCTACCAACTTCGGGTCAGCCCCCGCTGCCAAAAGCAGCTTGACAGTATCTACACAATTCAGAGATCCACCCGAAGCTGCACAGTGAAGAGCTGTGCTCTTATCGCGGCCACACCACCTATTAACATCGACTTCTGGCAGCGAAAGAATCAGCCTCAGAACATCAATGCTGCCATAATTTGCAGCAACCATCAAAGGAGTTCTATGCTCCAAAACCATTAGTTTTGAGCCATTTCGCCGACCATACCACAGCCCAACTTCATCAACACCAGACGGATCGCGCTCAATCCATCTTTCGATGCCCTGTACATCATTGTTGGCAGCAAATTCAAGCAAACTTGCAAAAGTATCCTCAGTTTCAACCATCAAATGATTTAGGTTCATGATGGTTGCCCAAATATTGCCAGAATTGATCTTGTTCTCAAATGGAATGTGCCCTTCAACAGCTCCAATTGACAGCACATAATTTCATCCCACAATCCAACTGAAACTCAAATTTCATCATTAGCCCCAACTCATAACAAAACAAGGTTTTTTTTTTTTTTAAACAAATTCATAATCAAATACAAAAATCTTTCTTTAATCCTTCATTGTTTTGGGACCCAAAGCTGACTTTTCAAAGGTTCTAGTACTTCCAAGAAACTTCAAAATATAAACAAAACTACCCTCCAAGAAACAATTTTTCCTTTCAGACTCAGTAGGAAGAATCAAGAAGAAAAGAACCCATGAATTTATTTTGTTAAAAAAACCATCTTTATATTTCATTCCATATCAATCAATGCCCACTATGCTGATATGCTCTACTTATGAATACATAGGCATAAAAACAAACAAACAGAAGACAACATCATATTACACACACATATAATATACATACACATATGCCCAAGGAAAACATAATGGAATTTGAAGTGGTAAATTTCTCACCACTTTCTTCAGGTAGAACAAAGAACAAGAGCCTAGAGTGCCCAGAGGGCAGCAGAAGCAGCTCCTCCTTTAATGGCTTTTTTTTCTTTATAATATATATCTCTGTATATATAACTAGAGAGAGCTCATGAATAGAGGGAGAGGAGGGAGTTTTTGCAAATATGCAGATCTAGAGAGAGACAGAAGAGGAAGAGATGGAGAAAGTTGCGAAAACCCAAGATTAAAGAGGAGCTTCTTGCTCTTTTTTCCTCCCCATTTCCTAAGATTTCCCACCCAAAAGAAATGTCATTCGTTTACAAGAAAGTTTTCAATGCTATAGTATTATAGTGGTTTTCATCATATACCATTATAGTCTATACTCTATAATAACAATAACAACAATAATAACATTATTATTATTACTATTACTAGTTTTTTACGCGCATTGCGCGATTGGGATAATGCCCAATGTTTTTTTTTTAAAAAAAATAAGTACTTTAAAGTATATTAAGGCAGGATTATATTGAAATTGTTCATGCATAGATAATTGAAGTTTGAATTTGCGTATTTAAATAGGTAATTCTTCTCCCAAAGGTTGAGTCCCCAACCCCAAGGCCCCCCACACTCCGACCCGACAGAGCATTGTGGGAAGTTGTAAATCACGGTGACTCAATGGTTCAGCAGACAGGGCCAAATGCTGATACGCACAAGGAATCTGCCAACTTTGGACATAATTCCCACACTGCAGCCGCCGAGGTTCAAACCTTCGTCTCTTCTTCCAAATACTACCCACTAAACCATTGAGCTAAGCCCGTGCAGGTTAAATAGGTAATTCTAAGTTTACAAATGCAAAATAATATAGTCAAGATTGATTATAATTGTCAATAAAATAATTGTATAGGTATGGTTGAAACCAAATACGGGACATAAGGGAGAACAAATAAAAATTAGGACATAAAATATTAAATATATACTAATATTGTTTGAGGAGATTCCGACATTAAGATTTGTGGTTAAGTTTTATTAAGACTTTAATATTAGAATTAGATTAATGGTGTAGTTATAATTCTATATTAGACTTTAATATTAGAATTAGACTAACGGTGAATTAACGGAAAAGTTAAATGGATAATCATATAATTAAGGATAAATTAGAAAATCTTAAAAGAAAAAATTAAAACCTGAACAATATGAACCATTCATTTTATTTAATAATTTGGCAGTCATTTTTTCTACCCAATGTTAATAATTAAATAAATTCGCTGGTCAAATCCGCTAGTATAATCCGCTAACGCTAACCGCTAACTGCTGATTGTCAAACAAGGACATTGCGAGGTAGTTCTCACTTCAATTTGTTGTGTGATTTGAATATTCTCGTTGTCACAAAATCTCTCAAGTAGTTAATATGGTTGACTTTATTAATTATATTTTTTTAATTTTTTCATGGTATTAATAAAATACTTGGTAAATAAATATATAGCATTATTTTGTATTATAACTTTGATATTTAATTAGAAAAATAGTGCACAAAAAAGATAATAGATAATGTAGTGAATATAATCAATTGATGAATTTGAATGTAAAAATTTTTACATTTGAGAAAAATAAAGATAATATAACTAATGAAAATATTTCTTTTAATTAATTTATTGATAATTAATAAAAAAAATTCACTGAATAAAGACATTGTAAGGATAATGTAGCGAGTATAATCAATTAATAAATTTGAATATAAAGAATTTTTATATTGAAGAAAAATAAAGACAATATAACTAATAAAATTATTTCTCTTATTTAATTGATTGATAATGAATAATTTTTTTTTTTTTTGAATAACGGCATTGTGGACACATAATTCTAAATTAAAGAAATGCATATGTATTATTTTTTGTTGTAACTACTAAATTATTATTTATATATAATTTAATAAGAGTAAAATAGAGTACTAATTATGCCAACTTTGATTGGGATGAGGTTCGAACCTAAGACCTTTTTTTATTGAAATCATTGAGTAAGTTAACGGTGAACTAACGGCAATTCTTAAAATTTTAACGGAATTACTAACGGTGTGTGGGTATTTTAGGAAATTTTAGTGTAAAATTTAAATCTGATCAATATTTTAATTAATCCGAGCCATTCATTTGATTAAAATCTGTGACCGCCATTTTTTCTACCCATTATAGGCCTAACTCTCTTGGGCTCTTATTAGTATAGTAGATTTTTAAAAAAAAAAACTTGTACTTATATGTCTTTTTAAAATTGGTATTTTCGTAAATTGAGAAAAGAAGAAAAAATGGCATACTACAAAATGCTTATGTTTTTATTTTGACAAAATCACATTAGAGTAAAAGACACCTTAAAAATGTAATAACAATAATAATCTATATACAATTGAGGACTCTCCTAATAGGGTGTTGATAATAATTAAATTGATGATATTTTATTACGATAATTTTGAAACACAAGCATAGTCACCATTTCTCGAAAGTATATTTCACTTTTGATTTTATGTATATTATGTTTTATATGTGTGATGCACAGAAAAATTATGTTATCATTAATTTAAATAAAAATAAATAAATAAATAAAAGATGTTAAAATATACAATATAATAATATAGTTAAATTTTTATATATTTGGTCAAATATCTATTTTTACGACATATAAAATTAAAATTCTCTAATCATATACGGATTACATATTTATATAAATTTATAGAGAAAATCTACATAATTAAATTGATTTATTCCTAATTATATTTCATATCGTAAAACACATTTCCTTATATGATTGTATATAAATTATGTGCATATTATATAATATAATTTTTGTAATTATAATTAATATTGCTAGATTTATAATTAAAATAATTACATTTAGAAATTAAGAAAATTAATATTTTAATTTTGTATGATTAATATAGTGCATAAATATATGTATGTATTTATAAAAATTTTAAAATATTTATGAATACACATTTTAGTTATTTTTATAATTTCATTTCCTTAATTATATTTCATATTTTGTTAATTATAATTAGGTAAAATTGCATTTTTGATCCCTAAGTTCTGACTCAGTCCCTCAATTATTACTGTATCCATTTTTACCCCTCAATTATGAGTGAAATGGCAAATTTAGTTCACGATGTTAGGTTTTCGTTTCAACTTGATGGAAAACTCCATATTATTGGACGGGTAATGTGGGAAATTCACATATTATTCTCTTTATTATATTGAAATCACTTTTACATCATTATTTTCCACTTCCCATCCTCTTATCTCCTTTGCTAAAGATTGGTCGCCTTCTTCGGCAAAGGAGTAGGCAGACCAGTTGGTCGCTTCCTCCAAACGCGATCGGAAACAGTTTGGTCACTAGTGATTATTGTCGAAATGTGTAGAAAAGGTAACTGAAATCATAGGTAACATGTAATTACATGTTACCAACCGATTTATGAGCTTCAATGTTTCAAAATAACATGTTTATGTGTTTAATTGCAATTTTTGAAAGTTTAAAAGTCCAATTGATTTTTTGAATAAAATTTAGAGGCTTATTTGACCATTTTTTTCCCAATAGTTATGCAATGGATCCAGGTCCACCTTGCAAGATGGATCGGGTCAAAATACACAATTTATATAGTGAATGTTCACAATTTATATTCTGAATGTTCACAATTCATACTTTGACACATTCAGTATGTAAATTGTGAACATTTAGTATATAAAATTGTGAACGTTCAATATGTAAATTGTGAACATTCAGTATACAATTTATGAATATTCAGTATATAAACTATGTATTCTTAAACCCGGATTCACCTTACATGGTGAACCCAAATGCACGGAATAATTTGCCCCTTTTCCCAAACTCAACCCACAAATGAGTAAAAATGACCAAACTTTGGAGTATATGAAATTGTGGGCTTTTACAATTTTACCAATATTAAGATGATCTTTAGGGAGCCTACAACGTAATAGCTTAAAAGGCTTAAACCATCGCGGCCCAAATCTGTATTTTGGGCCAAAATACTGATTCAAAAAATTCACTTTTGGAGAACAGCCCAAGAGAGATTTTTTTTCTTTTTTTTTTTTTAATGATTAGTACTTTTTTTTTCTTTTACATATTGCACTATATATCCATCATAGGCTCCCGATGTCATAATCAAGCAACTCAAATTTACATCTCTTTGTATAATAATAAATAATTTAATAATTTACAAATTATATATGAAAAATGCTACTTGCAAAAGTATATTCTTTTTCTTTTTTTAATAGGCAAATCGCTTCTAATGTCGATAATTAAGGTAGAACTCGTTATATTATGCCTGAACTCACCATATATACATTTACATTACTATAAGAATTGAAAAATAATACAATAACGATTTTAAAACTTCAAAACCCAACTTAACCGGAGGTCTTGTTTCGAGCCTTACTTTAAACCTATGAGAAAGTAGTTTTTCACCCTTATAAGTCTTGCCATGTAATCCTAGTTGACTGGATGAGATAAATAATAATAATAATAATAATAATAATAATAATAATAATAATAATAAAGATTTTAAAATCTTAATATAATATTAGTGACTATAATTTATTTTTTTGGTATATAATATCGGCTATCTCCACGGCTATAAAATTACTATGTATTCGGTTTAATGTTACACTCGCAAAGTTTAACTCACTCAAGAGATATTTGACTCATACATTTAACATAATGCCACACATTTATAAAAATTACTTTTCTGAACTTACAGTTTCAATAATGATTATTTATTAGATACTATAATATATGGAGTAACATTAATAACGAACCACTAAAAACATAATCAAGTTCATACTAGGTTTTGGAATGGTCCCTGCTTGATTGGGAAGATGGGTTAAAGATGGTGGTAGGAGCATAAAAGATATATAAAGCAGATTATAAAGGCCAAACTTTCTTGGACTGTATGCCCCCAAAGCCCATTCGACCCTTTCTTTTCCTTTTTTTTTTTCTTTTATTTAAAAAAAAAAAACATATCGACATTATCTAAAAATGTACATTGAATAAATTTTACTCTGTATAATAATATGCTAATTACGAAAAAGATGTAAACCATCCTATGAAGATGTATGCGACAAACTCAGTTGAAAGTGTACATGTTAACAGGGACGGAGCCAGGACGGAACAATACGGGGGGCCAAACTACGATTGAAGTACTAAATTAAATACATTAATATCTCGTTAACATATCTCAAAATAATCATTACATTACAAATTCAATAAAGTTTAGAATAAATTATTTATAATTGAATCTATATTAAATTATTTTGCAATATGCTTTTCA